TGATTTCTCACTTTCTATCTCTGTCTCTGTCTGTCTGGCAAGCGCACATGCCCTACAGCAAAAACCTCTTCCAAAAAAAAAAGAACCTCCCTGGAGAGCGCATACACCCTACAGCAAAAAAATCACTCTTAAAAAAAGAAAGAAATACGGATAAACCTCCTCAGCACATCTCTCTTAGGGAGCCACCTCTTCATTCATTTCATAACAACTGGTGGGGCCAATTGCATCCATGTTTGTTTGAATCCAGAACCCATGGATAGAGCCTATTGTACTCAAGTATGCTACATCATAAAAAGTCCCAGGAGCAAAAGACCACATGCTGTATGATTCCGTTTATATGAAGTGTTCAGGACAGGCAAAATCTACAGAGACAGAGAGTAGATAAGAGGTTGCCTAGGGAAGAGGGGAGTGAGGGTGTTGGCAGGTGATGGCTACACTGTATAGGGCTTCTTTTTTGGGGTAATGAAAATGTACTTAGAACATCAGGGACTTGGGAACCAGCAGTTAGCATAATGGCTATGTCGCTGGACTCCCACGTAGTCGATTACGGTTCGCGTCCCGGACCTGGTGGCTTAAAACTCACGCCGGGCGTGCGTGCGTGCGTGCCCAAGATCCCAAGAGGAGAATGGAGGAGAAGGGATTGCGGCATGACCATCCCCCCTGGGGGTGATTTCTCACTTTCTGTCTCTATGTCTCTCCCTGTCTGTCTGGCGAGTGCACGCGCCCTATAGCGAAAACCTCTCCAAAAAAAAAAAAAAAGAACATCAGGGACTCTTTCTCTCAATAATCCATTATAAATCCGGTGAAATTCTGAGACCATTAATTCAAGTGAAATATGCTGTAAATGTACCTTGCTGGGAAAGAACACCAGAGAAGATTTATAGCAAAATCAGGACCCAAAAGGCCTGAGCAAAAGCAGCACAGTGGGTAGCAGCAGACAGCATGATGCTGACGTTGCTGGACTCTCACGTAGTTGACCGTGGTTCCAGCCTGGACCTGATGGCTTGAAACTCATACTGGGTGTGTGTGCATACATGCCCAAAATCCCAACAGGAGGATGGAGAAGGGATTGCAGCATGGCCATCCCCCCGGGGGGGTGATTTCTCAGTTGTTCTTGCTCACTCACTCTCTTTCTAAGTGCACATGCCTTATAGCAAACTCCACCCCCCAAAAAACAACAACAACAACAAAACCAGCACAGGGATGGAGGAAGACAATGAGAGAACGGTACTCTAGAGGAACGACACCACTAGAAAAGTGACTGCACCTCCCCGGGCCGCCAACAGTTTTCCAGAGGAAGCAGTGGCCAGTTGGAGCACCTTGGCTTCCTGGTGGATATTAATCACATTAAGGGTGAAAATGTGTCTCAAAGTGCCAATGACTATCTATCTCAGGAAGAACTAGTACTCATACCATTTCATGCTCAAAGACCTCAGCAATCCATTACAAATCTATTAGTCAACACTCCTTCACCCTTGGTTACCTGTTTTTTCTTTTTCTTTGGAGATTTTTTTTTCTATAGGGTATGTGTACTAGCCAGAAAGACAGAGAGAGACACAGAGAGATAGAAAGTGAGAAATCTCCCCCCAGGGGGGATGGCCACACTGCAATCCCTTCTCCTCCATTCTCCTCTTGGGATCTTGGGCATGCACGCACACGCGCCTGGCGTGAGTTTAAGCCATCAGGTCCGGGACTCGAATTGCGGTCGACCACACGGGAGTCCAGCGACATAGCCATTATGCCAACTGCTGGTCCCATTACCTGTTTAAAAAATACATGTATTTTTAAGTTTACCTACATCCATGAGAGAGAGAAAGAGAATGAGAGAAAAAGAGAACCTCCAACAGGGTTTTCATGCTGTGATTCACCTCCAGTCTTCAGCCAGTGCTGGAACGAGGGCGAGCTTGGGACTGGAATACTCAGGAGGTCTTGAGAGCTGAACCCGGAGCCTTCCCATGTTGGACTTGCCTTGCAGGGCAACGTTTTACTACTCTGCTACCATCTAGCCCCTCGTTACTCTTTAGTAAGCCTTCAACTGTGGAGAGAAAGCCCTGCAGCAAAATTAGAGGGCAGGTGGCAGTGCAGTGGTGACACAACGGGACCCACACGGCAAAGGCCCTGCGTCTGCGTCTGCGTCTCAAGGTTGCCAAGGTGTCCTGGCTGCATGGTCAACATGGCCGACCACCGCTCAAGTCCCGGACCTGGTGGCTTGCTTTCTCACTTCCCCCCTCTCACTCTGTCTCTCTCTGGTCAAACTTTTTAAAAATAATAACAAATAAAATTAATAAAATAATCCTTTTTAAAAAATGACTTTTTGTAGAAAACCCAAAGGAACTTACAAAACCATACTAGAACTAATAAATGAACTGAGTAAGGAAACAAAATACAAAGTCAATATACAGAAATCAAAAATGTTTCTAAATAAAAAGTT